AATAAAATTGTACTGATTTTGCAAAAAAATAAAACAAATTGGGTACTAATGGATTTTCCCTACTATCCCACCTGAAGTAAGGCAGGTTTCAAGATGCCACCGTCTTAGCCAATCCTCAACACACCGTGGAATTCGTTCATTCGTTCGTTCATTCATTCAATAATATTTTAGTTCAACATCATATTTATAGTTGCTTCATTGAAAAAGCATCTATGAAAATTATAAAACCGTAGGTAATTTATTGCATGTTGTATACGTGCTTAATAAACGTAAGGCAAATATAAACTTTCTAACATAAGGTTAGCTAATCAACGAATTCTCGAAGTTTATGAACTAAATGTCGAAATATTGGGATTCTCGGAATTTCTCGGATTATTGTGGATTATTGGGCTTTGAAATAATGCGTTATCTTATGCAATCGGAAATGTAAGGTAAGTCAAATAACAGAAAGCATCTAGGGTTTTTCCCCCTCTTGAGACATGCTCCTGTTGTATTCAAATCCAAACGATCTTAGATCTTAATTGGGGCGTTGTATACCAAGCACAAAGTAATCCAAAAAGAGTAAAAGTATAAAATGACTGGTTTCTTGTAGGTTCGATTTTTCTGGATGGAGGAACTTTAGCGAATTCTCTCTCATTGCTCAGGACTTGGGTTTATATACCCTAATGAGAATTGGTAGTAATCATTGTTATAATTGATTGCATATTATATTGAACCAGTTCTACCATAGGTCCTTACACTTGTGGCGAATGGGAAAATGGCGGCTTCCCATGGTGGCTTTTGAACAAGCAGAACTGTCAACCACGTACAAGCCAGAAAGGGTTAATTAATTTGATTTTTGGGGCATCAATTAAAAGAGGATTGATTTAGGTTTCTGACTGCTGTCGAGAAGTTTTATACAGCGCTATTTCCCGTGATAAAGCCACTTTTACGTAAGAATGGTGGTCCGGTGCTAATGTTACAGATAGAAAATGAGTATGGAAGCTGTTCTTATTGCGACAGGTAGCTTATCTATCTCTGAGATAATTTCTAAGACAACAGATGTGCCCAACAAAAA